CTAGCTCAACAAAACGGTCAGCCACAACACTGCCGTCGGTGATCCTCTTTGTCGCCGCATCTAGGTTGCTGTACCCTTCACCTGATCGGCGTGCCTTGATGTGCTTCACATCCTGGATGAAATTGAGCACGCCCAAGCTGTGCGCAAATCCGAAGACTCCACCGTAACGCTGTGTAACCTGCACCATATCCTGCGCCACCTGCTGGAAGAGGTTGATCGCGCCCTTGGAGTCGGCGCGCAGCGTCGCTGGTCTGTCTCCCACTTGGCAAGACAACGCAAACGAGAGGAACTCCGCCATCGCTGACGCTTGGGCTGCATACATAACTCGTGGAGGTCGGTCACCATCAAGATCCAAGAGCACTGTGGCCCAACCAGCTTTCTGTAGTTCCAGCAGCACGGGTGTGGAGCATGATCCGTCAATCGCGAACTCGACCGGCTGTGTGGAGGGGGGCAACGCATACTGGACCATTTCCTCCACCTCCTGATCCACGCCATTGCCATCGATGTCGACGACGCGTGCTTGTAGCCCGAGGTCCATCCGAGGAATGTCTTCATCATGGTACGCAAATGCTCCGTGAACGAGTGGGTCATGCTATCCTGCATCCCGTAGCGCTTGCAGTACATGTTGTCCAACTTCAGCTTCATCACGCGCCACTGCCACTTCAGGTAGAAGGCAGTCAGCTAGCCTGTGCGCCAGGGTGTCCATGCGTCCACACCTGCATCTGCCGTCCGTGATGTACACTGACTGTCGTGCCCTTGCCCGTCTCCATACACCTTTGCATACACAGTTACACCTCATGATGGAAAACTTCTGGCGTCGGTTGCACTTCCTGCTGCCTGTCCGCACGCACGGGACGATGAAATCACAGGACGCGCGCATCGCGGGGCCATCATACAACTTAGCACCCAAGGCCATCTCGCGCTGCCCCGCGAGTCCTCGGGCCAGGAGGGTCTCCAGCATCAGGGGAGTGACAGGCACTGCGTGATGTCGACTGCATCTCCTCGTTGCTTTCGCAAGGATGTACCAGATAGTACTGTCCAGCCTGCATGATGGACACTGAGCGCTGCCCGCTGTAATGGTCCTCGTGCGTAGCCCCACTTAGCCACGACTCCAGGCTCGCTGACTGCTATGTCCCACCAGCCGTTGATCTCATCAATGCTCACTGATTGCGGGCAGCGCGTAGCGATCCAGCACATGCGACACCGCTGAAGTGCTGGAGCCAGGGCCTCTCGCGCTGCGGGGCCACCCGGGAGCGCCAGCTTTGCTGCTGCCGACGCTCCACCATGATAAGGCTTTCGTTGTCGCTGGCATCCTTTGCGATGTCGATCGGGTTCGCTATCGCTCATACCATTGACCTCGACTCCAAATGCGAATGCAGGCGCCACCCCAGGTCTTGAAAATGCGCGCGATCCTTTCACTGGCCTTGGTCGGTATTGCCATTCGCGCCTGTCGACGATCGCAGCTTACACCCCGAGAAAACCACGCCAGGGAATTATTCGAAGCCGCGGGCGCGACCTTCAGGCGAGCTGCAACCTCCCTGTCGATGTCACCCGAGCTGCTGACGATGCAAACTTGTCGTTGATTGATGCGCGCAGCTTGTCTACCGCGTTGCGGAATCCTGGTCTCGGTTTGACGAAGTTGGCAACTACTTCTTCTCGCGCCCCCCCTTCGATGCCCAGCGCCGCGTCGTCGATATAGGATGACAAGGAGACGCACTGATGGGCTGCGATGCACCTACCAAGCTCTTCGACTGCAAGCGCCTTGATGATTATGTCCGCGCGTCCGTCTCCAGCAGATAACCGGTGCGCAGCATGCTGAAGCCGTGCTCAATGGTGAGATCTTGCTCTGAGAATCCCTGGGCCTCGCCGCTGGTTGAAGACCCACTTGAACCGCGCAGTTGCACCTCCGAGCCGTCAGAATTTGCCGCGAGCTTGTTCGAGGGGGATCGTCTCGCAGTACTTGCTGCAGTCCGCAATTAAGGCGCTCGCGTGTCGCATTCTTGAAACACATGCCTGGGCCTCGGCTGATATTCCCCGCGCGCTGTCAATCGCCGATCGGTCCGCCGCTGCACCCTGATAATGTCTGCGCACCGCATCCTGCAGGCTGTCTAGCTCCTTGCGCCGAGCCCCTTGCGATACCCTGTAGCTTGACGAGTACAATATGATGAGCCTGCTGCCGCCCATCGGCTTCGGCAGCATCGGCATGACCACCCATGTAAGTTAAGTTGTCTCGACAGAGGCCAACCCTGTCACTTGCTTCCCAGAATGTGCCCAACACTTCCAAACCCGCATCCGAAAGGCGCGCATTGCGAAAAGGATGGATGCCGCCAAGACTGCCCGATGCACGCGTTGAGACGCTCGCTGACTCGTAGTACCTCAGCTGCCGTTGCCCGTGGAAGCGCGTCTCGACGCGGCATCCACGCCTTCGGCGCTGCGGAGCTCGACTCCTGGAGTTTGATGCGTGCATCCTCGGCGCCTTGCACTATGCGACGCAGATAACCATCGTTGGCGCCTGCACATGCCTGCGCGCCGTAACTCTGCGATGCCGCCCTGCCCCTTTCTCTCTCGCACCGTCGCACCATTGCTTCCATCGCGACTGACTGTCACGATCAGCATCCTGCTTGGACACTCCCACGTCTTCGACCGCCTCTTCCAGCAGGTTGCGAAGATCCTTCGCCGATGTACTCGCAAAAAAATCGCCTTGCACGCGCTACTCTGCTTTTTAGGCGATGACTGATGCCTTGCCCCACGCATGCTATCGCATTGGCACTGTGGATCTCGTCTTTGAGCTTCACGATGTCGGGGGCTGCCCTGCCTGGCTTCAGGTTGGCCAGCGTCGCGATGGCATCCTCGCACCACTTCCAGCCGCCAACGGTAGCCTGCACGACTTCAGGGCCTTTGCCTTTATATGTTTAGGTGACCCATCGCGATCTGACATTGTCACCGTATGAGTGCAACTGCACTTGTGACCCAGTTAGGTGGACAAGCAGCTCCGCTGCCGTCATTGCTCATCGCGCCCGAGCCGTAGATAGTAGTCGCCACGCTGCCTTTGCTGAACCACTTGTTGCCAACTCCACTGCGCCATCTGCACATCTTTGTTCATACTGCCAGTCACGCGCGCATTTGATCATCGGCCCGAACACCTTCTGCTGCGATAGCTTGTCGCCTCCTACGCACGCGAGGTAGACCAGCCCATTGCCGCGCGATGAAAATGCAGCAATCACAGGCCTATGGGGTTTGACCGCCCACTCGAGGTCTGCCTTGACTGGCTGGACAAGTCGCATCATGCCAGCTGCGGGCGCGAAGAGGTCGACGGCTGCGTTGGCCGTCGCCGCTCTGCAAGTCACGCCTGTCGGCACCGGCAATGACAACTGCGCAGTGGCCGTGACTGTGGACGCTTCGGCTTCCGCAGCTGGCATATACCAACCTCCACCGATTAATGATGGGCGCTGCCGCCCAGCCATCGCCAATCCGACATTCATCCGGATCTTCACGTTCTCGATAGTCATTCCCTGTCCTGCGTGCAAGTATACGTTGAAGATGTTGACTGGAGGCCATCCTGGAATTTCAGCGACTGCATGCTGCGCCCGATGTGGCACCAGTTCGCTTCCACATGATATTGCGATTGACTGCCGATCCTCGCGCCATGGGGCTGCCTTCAGGACTTGCTGGCCCACGCAGTCCGACTCCTTCACGCGCGAAGATGCAGAGCCCTGCCGACGGCAACTTCCCTTCCGCAGGCGCACCTGGAACGATAGTCACATTCCACCTGCGGTCGCTGGCCCATGCACTCAACGCTTCGCACTCCCAGCCATGATACCCGATCTCCTGCGCAAGGACAATGAGCGACTCCGTCTGGAGGAGGCGCTTCTGCAGGGTCTGATTGCCCTGGTTCGCGTTGCACGTATCCATGAAGCGCGCCCCCTCGGCTCGGCCTGGCATCGGCGCCGTCGCAGAGCATCCTCTCTTCATAGACAACCCGTGGACCTCAAGGTCCCATCGCAAACTATTGACCTCGTCAAACACAATCCGTGCTGCCGCCAGCTCTGGCTGCACTGCCTCCGTCAAGTCGCCTGCGCTTGGCTCTGGATGTTCTGGGCCATCTCCGCCAACCGATCTTGGCTGACTTCGGCGGCGCACCCGCTCTGGAGCATGGCCCTGTGCAGTTCCTCCACGCCTGTCTTTTTCCCCCACGGGAAGCCAGCGGCACGCTTGGCAACCCCACGTCCGCTTGCGCCTGCTTCGCCGCTGCACCCACCAGCTGGCCGTGGCTCTGGGGGGCTACATTCATGAGCGTCAGGAGGTGCAGGAGCACGTGCCTTGACGAACCTGGCCTCGAATAGTATGTTTTTACAGCGCCTGCATCCTGCTGAAGTACGGAACGCGAAGGACCTGTAGAACTGGAGCAGCCCGGGGTCACTCTTGAGCTCGCTGCTCTCAGGGCCCAGCTGCAGCACATCTTCGGGCACCTCGACGAACTCCTCAGCTGCTTTGCCGCCGCCGAGCTTTGCCGCGCGCGCCGCAACCTCTTTGCCGAGCACCGTTTCTTCTTTGTCATTTGCCTCCAGAGCTGTTCTCGTCGCCCAACTATTTCTGCATCTTCTCCAACTTCTGCAGTAGGGACTCGATGTCATTATTCGCAGTGGCAATATGCTTCTTGACCTTCTCGAGCTTCTGAGCGCACTGCTTGTGGGATGTGGCTGGGGTACGCATGTCTTTGATGTGCGCACTCGTGGCCTCAAGCTTGAGCCTCGTGTTCTCGATCAGCCCCGTGCCCCCGATGTCCGCGTAGACATTGATCGCCTGCTCGTATTTGTTGACCGTGCTGCAGCTCCGCTCGCTTGGCGAACTCGGAGGCATCGCGTCCCGTCTCGGCTCCGTCACCCTCGTCAACGCTCATCGCCCCCTTCGCCAGCTTGAATGTCTTGTTTTCGGTCGTGAGCGGCTTGAACTGCATATGTAGATTCTCGAAGTCCTTCGCCTCCTGCGACCATGGTGCAGGCTTGGGGCGTAGACCCGCTCCTCCTGCCGATCGGGATGGCGAACGTACCAAAGATGCTCCATATCCTTCTCTAGCTTTCCGATATTCCTTCTTCGCTTTCTGCACGATCTTGTCTGGGGCTGCCTTCCCACAGCTGCACACGACGCGGTACGCCCAGTTGGTGTTTGTTTGCCGTGCTTGGGGCAACCCCATGTCGGTTCACGTGGCCCACGTAGCACCCGTGTTTGATCATGTTCAGCGGTTTTCTGCACCATCTTGCCCGACGAAGAGCCGTGGTGGCCGTCCAACAGCATGGCGCCCTCCGCCAAGCGCTGCTGCAGCCTCTCGCTGCTCTTCCCCGCCCAGGCCGCCAGGAGCAGCCGCGCCCGCTGGCGATCGCGGCGGCAGCGGTGGTGGTGGGCTGCTTCGCGCGTGATTGCGCTAGTCTCAGCGCGAGAGCTCGCGCCAGCCTGGCTGGCGCACCCTGGGCTCTCTCTCGAGCCACAACTAGAGGAGGAGGAGGAGGAGGAGGAGGAGGAGGAGGAGGAGAAGGAGGAGGAGCAGGAGCAGGAGGAGGAAGACGAGAAGGACGAGGAGAAAAAGGCGCCAGGAGCTGGGCCCGAGGCCACTGGTCAGCACGCCGCGCTTCCGCGCCCTGCTCCAGGAGCCGCCGCTGCTGCATCAGCCTGGCCCAGCCGCCGCCGACGCCGACGCCCGCCGCTAGCGGCCGCCGCGCGAGTGCTGGCGGTCGTCGCCGTCGTCGTCGTCGTTGTCGTCGTCGTCCGTCGCCGTCGTCGTCGCCGTCACCCTCCACGTCGCCGTCGTCGTCGTTGTCCGTCGTCGTCGACGGTCGCTGCCGCCGTCGCAGCCGCCGTCGCAGTCGCCGTCGCCGTCGAAGATCGAGGAGAAAGGTTTTCAGTCGTCTGGAGGACCTAGCCTGTGTCTCCAGAGGCCTCCAAAGGCCAAGAGGCCCCGGGGGGCCTCTGGAGGCCTCCAAAGCCTCGGTGGAGAATCACCCAGGGCCTCCGCAGACCTCCAAAAACGTCGGCGGAAACTGCATGACCGTGGAGGCCCCCAGAGGCCAACGGGCCACGGAAGATCGAGAGCATTGAGCGTCATGCTACCCTTTGCTAGAGACGACGACGCCACCATCCGCGCCGCTACTGGATGCTGCCGAACGCCGCGAATCAGGAGCGAAGACAGGTACTAAATAAACTGTTCCGCCGTCGTGGACGCCTGCCCCCTGGGCGGCTGAAAATTTATGCCCCTCCGTGGCACCGTAAGGGTAGAAAACTTGCAGCCGCGTGGGGGGCAGGCGTCCACGACGGCGGAAAACAACATGTTATAACATTCTTCGCCCGCTAAGAGAAGGGCCGCCGCCGACGGCCGCTGCTGCGGCGGAGGCGCCTGTCGTTGAACTCGACGCTCTCCGACTCGCGCCGGGGGGGCACCTCGGCGTCCAGCTCGCGCCGCTCCGCGCTGCTCGAGTCCTCACGCCTCTCGGCGTCGCCGCCGGTGGCGGTGGAGTAGGACGACCTCGCGCGCGGGTCCCTTCGGGGGGCCCTCGGCAACCATCGGCGGCCCTCGGGGGGGAAGCCATCGGCAGCCCCCAGGGCAGAGCGCGCGATGTGGGCGCCGCCGCCGCCGCCGTCGTCGTCGTCGTCGTTGCCGTCGTCGCCGTTGCCGTCGCCGTCGCCGTCGCCGTTGCCATCGCCGTCGCCGTCGTCGTCGCCGTCGCCGTCGCCGTCGCCGTCGTCGTCGTCGTCGTCATCGCCGTCGTCGCCGTCGCCCTCGCCGTCGTCGTCACCGTCGCCGTCGCCGTCGCCGTCGCCGTCGCCGTCGCCGTCGCCGTCGCCGTCGCCGTCGCCGTCTTCGTCGTAGTCGTAGTCGTCGCCGCCGTCGTCGTCGCCGTCGTCGCCGTCGTCGTCGTCGAGGGACTCGTCCAGGTCATCGTCGACGTCGTCCGAGACTCGGGGGGGGAGGACCCGGGAGTCGGCCCAGGATGCACCAGCGATGCTGCAGTGCACACTCACATCCCAGACTGTTCCCTCTTCGAGTCCCTGCTCGGGGGGGGGGCACCCGCGTGCAAGGCGTGCGACTCCTAGGCCTGCCACTCATGTCGGGCGAACGCCTCGCTTTGAAAGAGACCCCGTTCATGCCTTTATCGCTGGGAGAAACGTGGATACGAAGGATTACGACGTCGAGTGCCAAGCGAGCACCCAACTTTGAATAATGAGCCGTCTTCGCAACGTGTGACTGCAGCACGTGGTCAGCCTCCGGACAAGAAGGCTTGACGATGCCGTAAGCAAAGGAACCGTTTTGAAAAGAAGCCAGCCTCAATCCGCGCAACAGTGACACATGTTCGAGCATCTGCCCAAAAACTGAGAACCCTCAAGCGGGAACTCAACTGTTCAAAAGTAACCGCGCGCGCGGCGCGCGGGAGCCTCATGCTAAACAACACGTGTAGCCAACCTGTTCAAAGTGTTAGACGAATGCTCGCGGAACTACGGCGGGTACGAGACTTCCAAGACGGCACATCTCTACCGTCAAGTCGCATAATAAGGATGCGCGGTAAGGATACATGGGGCCTTGGCGTTTGCGAAGGGCGAAAGTCGCCAAGAAGGGGCAGGAAGGGGCAAGGACGCAAGGGCAGCAAATGAAAACTGCTCATCCTTATGATGCGACTTGATTGTACTTTCAAAACGGCACATCTTCTGTCTGCGCATCCCATGAAGACGTGCAAGTTTACCCATCGGTCGGAAGAAGTAGGCAGAAACATGAAGCAGGAAGGCGTTGAAAAAAGATTGGGCGTCCGCCCGCCCGCTAAGGAGGACGGAGAAGGTGAAGCCACTCGATCGTTGAAGTAGGAAGGCGCTTAAAGTAGATTGGGTAGAGAAGCCACTCGATCGCTGAAGTAGGGAATCCAAAAATAAGAAGCCATTCGATCACTGAAGTAGGGAATCCAAAAATAGGAAGCCAGTCGATCCTTGAAGTAGGGAATCCAAAAATACATACTTTCAACGACCGATGGGTGACACGAGCCCGCGCGGCGCAGGGGGACAGCTGCACTGTGGCAACGGCCCGCCCTCCATCGGTCACTGCGACCGTTGGCCTGCAGGGCACAGCCTCATCTCGGAGGGATCGCAGACCAACCGCACGACACGCCCATTGACACGCCTGGTGGCGCAGCAAAGAGAAGGTATGGTTGGGCAAGCGGGATGGAGGAGGACGAGCGAGGAGTGGCGCGAGAGAGAGGGGGACGATGAGGAGGAGTAAGTAGGAAGAGGAAGAGGAGGAGGTGGATGGGGAGAAGCGAGCAGGGGGAGGAAAAAGGAAGGAGAGTTGGACGAGGCGGATAAGCAGAAGATGAATCAAAAAGAGGGGAGGATGGTGAGTAGGACGGGAGATGAGGAGAAGGAGATGGAGGAGAAAGAGGGCGTAGGTAGAAGGGAGGAGGCAGGAGGAGGAGGGAGCAGTTTGCGAAAGAAGTATCCGGGAGGAGGAAAAGACGAGGAGGAGGAGGAATAGGTCTTCTTCGGTCTCTGGAGCCCCCTAGAGGCACAAGGAGAGGCCTCTGGAGGCCTCCACAGCGCACTTCAGGCCAAACCAGGACGAAGAGTGCCAAAACATGTCGGTCCCCGATGCTCCTCCATCTGCTCAATCTGCTCCTCCTGCTCCTCCTCCTCCTCCTCCTCCTCCTCCTCCTCCTCCTCCTCCTCCTCCTCCTCCTCCTCCTCCTCCTCCCCCTCCTCCCTCCCCTCCTCCCTCCCCCTTCCGCGGCGCAGCCTACAATCAAAGCCAGCGATACGGATGAAGTTAAAGGAGGGGAAGAAAACGGTGTCCATGACCAAGACTGAACGCAGAAACGTCGAGTCGATCTTGGTCACCATCGACCTTGATCAGCGTCATTTCGAGGATGCAGGGTGCCCTTGCGAAAATTGCCAACCGTCAACGTCACTCTTGATTGTGCTGGAGATGGCTGTTTAAGTATGTTGGGTAACGGTCGCTATCAGAGGGGGGGGCTGGTAAGGGTAGCGCTGGGCGGGGTGGGGCACGTCGGGGCGGGGATGCGCTGCGATCGCCACAGCGTGCACGCGAGCACCAGCATGTGGGGAGAGGTCCGGGCACCCCCCGCCCCAACGAACGATCGTCGCCGTCGGTTGAACCGACAGCGTCCTCTTGCATGGATTCACGCACAGGCTCGCCCGCCAGAGGACCGCCGTTGGCTAAACCGTCAGCGTCCTCTTGCATGGCTCCACCCTCGGCCTCTGGTTGCACAAGCCGTACGCCACATCTGACATCCCACCCCTACGTACCACCCGTCCCTTCCCAGTACGCCGTTGCCTCGCTATTCGCCGACGCATATTACAATCGGGGGGGGAATCGGGGGGGGGCCAGGTAACAACCGTCACGCGCCAGAGGATCTGTAAAAAAACACCCTTCCTCCGTGACGAGCCCGTCTCTCTCGAGGCTCCCCGCGTGCTGCCCGCCCACGCCCTGGAGCGAGGCGAGGGGTCGGCCAGCGCGCCAGGGCCCGCAAGGGGGCGGGTGCCCCACCCAGAGAGCGCGGGGGTGGGGGCCCAGGCGCCCGCGGGGGGAGCCGTTTCTGCGAACGTCCGCAGCGCTGTGTGGCGTGCCGCCTTCTCCAGGCGTGCGACACCGCGGCCTCGTCGATGCGGGGTGTCCCCAGAGGCTCCGACCCCTGTCGCGGGACCGTGCTTCCAGCCTGGATCGTTTCTGCTGCGGTCGCCCGACGGCAGCCCCCACCGCCGAAGATAGCGGAAGAACTGATCAGGCTTCGGAGTCAACTCAGGGGAGCCTCCCAGCACCATCTTGTCGGCCCTTCCAGATCGATTATCATCGCCACTGGCCAACGCTAACCAACGCTAAGTCTGCGCTTTCTCACCGACTCCTCTGCTAGCGAATCTGCACTTCCTCGCTGCATCGTCGCTCCCAGGAGTTGCTGCCGAAGCCCGCCCGAGGTCAACGAGTGCGTGCAACATGGAGAAAGAAACAACGGCATAAACATGAACTGTCGACGCTCCGCGCGGATTCCTTGGATCTGCGCTGGAGCCCCCTCCCTGGCGCGCGGAGCGCGCCAAGGGCAGCACCGGAGGCGCCGCCAGGTCAGAAGGCCACAGCGCAAATCCAAGAAATCCGCGCGGACCGCCAAAAGTTTATGTTTATGCCATTTTCTTGTTCTTCGAATCTGGCCGCCTCGGATGGTCGGAACACTGGGATCGGGTCGGACCGGGCCGGCCGAGATCGACATCGAATCGTATCGAGGAGGAGGGCAAAGAGGGGAGCACGAGGCGCCGCTCCGCGCCATCTGGCGCCGCCTCTGGCGCGCTCCGCGCGCCAGGGAGGGGGCCCCAGCGCAGATCCAAGAGATCCACGCGGAGCGTCGAAAGTTTATGTTTACCCATCGGTTGGAAGAAGCAGGTAGAAGCATGAAGTAGGAAGGCGGATAAAGAAGGTTGGGTTCGGGCCCGCCCAAAGAATAACAGACAACGGCCAAACAATACCGGCTATTGAACTAGGAAGGCGCTGGAAGTAGATTTGGCTCTGGGGATCCAAAAGTACATACAGTGGAGGCCAGTCCACAAGAAACCCAACCCTGAGACCCCAGAACCTCCATCGATGTTTGGCGAGTCGAAAGTGAGCCTGGTAACTCAAATAGGGCATATAGCCTGGCAAATTGCATCCGTCGCTCTGCTGTGAGGGTACAGTATGAGGGGTGGATGGGTAAGATAGGATAAGATCGATGTAGTGATATTTCCAGCACATAGCGAACACAAGCAGTGTCCGGGCAAATAGGGCGCGCGTGCCTTGAGCCCAAGGCAGCGGCGCGCGAGCTATGCTCCCGATACTGTAACATCTCCCAAAGAGCTACCCTTAAAGTCGGGAGGGGAGGAGACGGAGAGCATAGTCGCACGCAAAGATCGCGCGCACGACTGTTTGCAAAGAAAAGAAAACAGTGCGTACAGTCTGGTCAAACACCAGACTGTAAGGCGAGTTTCCTCGCAAAGTATTTCACGCAAATACAGGACAGCCCCTTCAAACAATGAAGGGCTATCGGCTTGTTAGAGGTAAGCCAAAATTAGGCCATACCTCACCAAGCAAATGTGTATTAAGGCAAAGAGCCTGAGTTGTACGAAGCCGGCTCGTTGCCAGGCGTGAAATATAAGGCTCGTTTCCGAGCAGCTAAAGGGGCGCCTTTATAGTAGGCGCCCGTGCTGGCAAACTGGACCGCGAGGGCAACAAGGACAGACTAAAATTGATTAGACTTGGGTTTGTCTCTGTCCTCGGGACCCCGAAAGGGAACAAATTGCTTCACGTCATACTTAAATGACTGAGTGCCTGACATCACTTCCAGAAGCAGCTCCCGATCGATGCTTCCCTTTGTATGCCCATCTGCGGTCATATCCCTAGTATCACACCATTGCACATTATGTACTATACCTATATCCATGAGCTCACGTATCCAACTGATATGTCCAAGCAGAGTCCGTTCTGTAGGTATTTTGAGATCCCTG